GCCCCGTGCCCCGCCGCCCCCGCGCATCTCCCCTCTCTCATCAGCTCCGGCCGGTGGCCGTGCAGAAGCCCTCATTACAGAAGCTCCTCTGCGTCACTCAACATCTACCAACTCAAATGTGAATCTCGGTGAAATGTTTCCGTCACAGCGACATCTAGAATCATGTCTGACCAAACTACAGGCCTAGCAAAGTGGACACACGGAATCAACCATCCCAGGGACACACTCAGGCTGTAGCGTGTTGTCCCTCTGAAATGCACGTTGAATGGGGTGTCCCGTGTCTTATCTGACACCCAGGCCCGCTCTTCATCCCCAGGGGCCTCCAAGGCGACTCCATGGCCTTCAGGGAGGCCCCCAGCCCAGTGGCATCTTCACGGAAGCCTGTCTAGGAACATAGCATGGGATTGTCAGCCAGCTTTCTTCTCTGTGGTTTTCTGACGGGGGTGGGGGGTGGAGACGGGGGTGTCAGAGTCCAGGGATGTATCCTCTCCACCCACACGGTGCAGGCAGCCTCCGGGGGCCAAGCCGAAGGGAGGTCATGAGAGCCACCTCTGCAGGAGGGGTGCTGGCGATTCAGCCCGTCTGGCAAGAAGGGCTCCTCTGGGGGCTGGGAATGCAGTGGGTTTGGAGGAGAGGTCTGCTCAGGTCTGGGGAACCTCAGAGAATCACCCGGTGTGTGTGTATGTGTGGGGGGGGGGGCGCTATGTCTTAAGGCTCTGTCTTAGGGCCCTTCTAGTCTTGAGTAGCAGAAACCACCTGCCTTAAGTGAAAAAGAGACTTGGTTGGCTCTTGACAAAAAGTTTCAGAGGCAAAGGTGCCAGGGCTCAGCCTGTCACCCTCTCTCAGCTCTGCTTTCTGGGAACGGAGCCCCTGGAGCCCCCAGGAGGACCACAGCTCTCTATTTGGAGACTTCTGACCTCCAGCACTGCGAGACAATAGATCCATGTTCCTTTAAGCCTCTGGGTTTAAGCTCATACGTATTCCTTCCAACAGTGGACTCCACCGACCTCCAGAGAGCCTGCATGCACAGCCCACGTTTCTCTCCTTTAAATAGCTATGTCTTAAGGCTCTGTCTTAGGGCCCTTCTAGTCTTGAGTAGCAGAAACCACCTGCCTTAAGTGAAAAAGAGACTTGGTTGGCTCTTGACAAAAAGTTTCAGAGGCAAAGGTGCCAGGGCTCAGCCTGTCACCCTCTCTCAGCTCTGCTTTCTGGGAATGGAGCCCCTGGAGCCCCCAGGAGGACCACAGCCCTCTATTTGGAGACTTCTGACCTCCAGCGCTGCAAGATAATAGATCCATGTTCCTTTAAGCCTCTGGGTTTAAGCTCATACGTATTCCTTCCAGCAATGGACTCCACCGACCTCCAGAGAGCCTGCACGCACAGCCCGCATTTCTCTCCTTTAAATATCCTATATAATAAAAGGGTAATATGTATATTGACCCTAACAGCAGAACGACTGGGAATGACTGGTCACTATGACACACACTGACCACCAGGGGGCAGACGCTCAATGCAGGAGCTGCCCCCTGGTGGTCAGTGC